CACCTGCAGCGCCCGGGGAGCCGGACTGAGAACCGGCGTGCTGGCGAGGCGCAGGGCTGAACCCGAGCGGGCGCCTCTGGCGGCTCGGGGCCGGGGCGGGCTTTTAGTGGGCCGCTCCAACAATACGGGCCTGGCGCGGAGAAAGGGGCTCGGCTGCAATTGGTACTGGATTTGAATAACGCCACGGGGCCATCAATGGTCATTGTGTCGGCGGGTAATGAATCTCCGCTGTCTCTCCTCGGGCTGGCCAGGCAGCTGCAACCTGCGCTCAGGCAGCTCTTAAAGACATAGCGTGCCCCTCCCTGGGGGCCGCCCCCCTCTGCACCGGCCGGACCCTTCGCCCTCCCACCCCCACACAGCGCCCTCCACTCCCAATGCCCCGCCTGCTCCCTCAGCCTGACCCCTTTACCCACGTCCCCTCCCTCCTGGGCCAGGCACCCACATCCCGGCCTTGCGCTTTGTGACCTGAATCAGGCCCTGGCCTTGGCTGAGCTCCCCAAGAGAATTCAGGGGACCCCCAGAATATTAAGGCCCAATCCCTGCTTTCCAGCTATGTCTAGACCTATGGCCTGGCCTCTGGATCGCTTCTTCCTTGAGCTCCTGTCCAGGGTATTATTGGGAGGGGGGAACAGTCTGGAGGTCAGAGGGTCAGCCAGCCCCTAAGAAGGCCATGTAGTAGGATAGGAGAGGAGAGATGCAGCCCCAAACCCCAGTCTGAGGACGCCATCTCCAGAGACCACACCACTAGGGATCTGGAGGCTGCCCCCTTCTCCAACCAAGGAAAAAGGCTTGGTTCCAAAGCTCCAGGCTCCAGGATACCTCTGCTCTAGCAGCGGGGGAGGGGGAGCAGGTGGGTGTGAGAGCAGCGTGGAATTTATTAATGCTTGTGTCCTCACTGTCTCTTTCATTGGACAGCCCACCCATTCAGGAGAGCAGGGACTCTGAAAGGTCTGATACTCCCACACCCACTCCTCACTAGGTTCTTACATTGCTGGGTAAAGAGGTACCCAACTCGCTTCCTGAGCTCAGTCTGTCAATCCCACTGAATATCACCCCTGGAGGGGGAATGAATGGCCAGTCTTCATTCATTCTGCCTTCCATCCACCTTAAACCCAAAACTCTGCCCTTGCACACCCTATCATCCTGCTCTGAAATGCTCTCCTGTCCTCACAACCTCTGGGCAGCCCTGCCATATGCCCAAATGAATTGTGATTATCAGTTTGACTCATTCTGTTCCCTAGGACAGGAAGTGAGCCCTTTCTATCTTTATTCCTCCAAAGTCTAGAACAATGTCCTCCCCCAACAAATCAAATGTCTGTGGGTGTTTGCATGCATACCCCATCAATTAAAAATGAACCACAGGGGCTGGGGATGTGGCTCAAGCGGTAGCGCGCTCGCCTGGCATGCGTGCGACCAGATGTTGTATCCACCGAGAACTAAGAAATAAATATCAAAAATTCTCTCTCTCTCTCTCTCTCTCTCTCTCTCTCTCTCTCTCTCTCTCTCCTCTCTCTCTCTCTTTAAAAAAAAAATGAACCACATAGATTCATTGGAGTTTCTTTTTTAAAGGTGGCAAAATATGGCTTCTGGATTTTATAGAGACAAAGCTCTGCCAACCAGATCTCAATTCCTGGAAGTGCTCCACTTAATAATAATAGCAATAAGTGTCTTAGATGCTGAGCACTAAATGCTTTAAAGATAGTTTAACTGAGCATGGTGGTGCACACCTCTACGGAGGCTAATACAGAAGGATCACAAGTTCAAGGGCAGCATGGGAAACTTTGTGAGACCCTGTCTCAAAATTAAAAATAAAAGGGCTGGGGATGTAGCTCAGTAGTAAAGTGCCCCTGAGTTCAGTTCCCAGTATCACAAAGAATAAATTGTTTAGAAATAAAAATAATAAAATAAAGGTAGTTTACTGACACTGGTGCACCTGTAGTCCCAGCCACTCAGGAGGTGGAGACAGAAAGCCAGCCCTCAGCAGAGCAAGACCCTGCCTAAATAAATAAAATGAAGGTAGTTACCTTGTTGACTCTCTACACAACCTTGGGAATTAGGTACTATTATCACCACCACCACTGAAAAACTGAGATTAGTGGTTAGCTCCCATCTGCCAGGTGATGTTGCCAGAGTTGGAACTCAAGGCTGTCAAACTGCACACTGGTTTTTCCAGGCTTTTCTTAGCAGATACAGAGGTGACTGTTGTAAATGCACTCAAAACAGTGGGACCTGGGAGACACTCTGTCCCTGTCCGTTTACATTATAATCCTGCCCTATACTATCCTCCTCCTGCAAGTACAACCAGGATTGAGCGGGCAACGGGATGTCTCTGAGCAGGTGGGGAGCTCCCAGGCTGGGTCTTTAGTTGAGATCTAGGAGGAGGACTTTTCCTCCTGCTCCTGGGGATGTGGACACTATTGTTTTGTTCATTTGGTTTTTGGTGTTAGGGATCTAGCCCAAGTCCTTGCACATGCTAGGCAAGTGCTCTTCCACTGAGCTGCACCCCAGTCCAGTGTCAGCAATATTTATTTATTTATTTTTAAATAT